GGGAGGAGACGAGCCAGTCAGGGTGCAGTGTAGCAACAATGAAACATACAACTTTCCTCTAGTTCTTTAATGCTTCTTCCCCCCAACTATCATGATCCCAATTCTACCTTACAAATCCAGCTAGACCAGAGGATGTACACTGGTGCAGATAGGAATCAGAAACAGGGAATCCAGGAGAGATGATCCCTTCAGGACCAGTGGTAAGAGTGGCGATACCGGAAGGTGCGGTAGGAAGGGGAGCCAATTATTAAATTATCAAGGGTTCATGAGGGAGGGGGGAGTGCGGAGGGAGGGGGGAAAGTGAGCTTATACCAAGGGCTAAAGTGGAGAGCAAATATTTTGAGAATGATGAGGGCAATGAATATACAAATGTACTTGACACAATTGATGTATGTATGGAGTATGATAAGAGTTGAACGAACCCCTAATAAAATGATTTTTTTAAAAAGAGCAATTGTATATTTAGAAAACATCCCAGCCCAATCCAGATCAAGTCCATATGTGCAATACCAGTCTGTAAATTCCTCTTCACGCAACACATGCAATGATGCCGATCACAGGCCAGTGGGTGGAAAGTCTTGTGGACTAGTGGCAGTGGAAGCATCTCAGCACTGGTGTGGGTCTCCACGTGGCTCCTCCAGCTCCCGGGCTCCATCAGCATAGCGTCCATGTGGCTTGTCAACAGGAATGTCCAGCAGAGTGTATGTGTCCCGTGAAGACAGGCGTTTCCAGAATCCTTAGGAGAAGGCCATGCCCATATTCAGGCCGCCTTCCCTAAGACCTGGTTGACAGGCTAGACTTCACCCCTTCTTCAAGTTGACAGTAGATTATGTAACTGCCATGCCTACCTACCTACCTACCTACATACCCACTCTACTGCCATTGAGTCAATTCCAACAGAAAGTGGCCCAATAGGACAGGATGGATAGAACTGCTTCCTCCTTAGGTCCTGAGGTTGTAAATCTCTGTGGGAGCAGCCTCAGCTTTTTCCCCTAGAACAGCTGGTGGTTTCAGACAGAAATTCTTAATGGAAGTAAGAAGGCCTCATATTTCTCCTGAGGAGATGCTGGCTGTTTTGATCAGTTGACCTTGTGGTAAGCAGCCACATGTGTTTCCCACTGTGGCAACATGGCTCCTTTGCCTACCTACCTCAATGTACCTTAAAAAATATAAAGAGGAAAAAAAGTTTTATATATATTTATTATATATATATAAAATCCATATATATATATAAAGCATTTGAAGACAATAAAAGCGGGCTAAAGTGTTATCAGGCACAACTATTCAAAAAATAAAAGGAAATAGATTCTTATTTCTGGTATGAAAAACCACTGTGAATGTATCATCACAAACCCAGACTAGTAAAAGTGTGTTGGTTTCAAGTACTGTCTATGGCATGATTTTCTGACATGATGTGGAAAGCTGTAAAAAATATTAAAATAAAATCTTTTTTTAATTACATGTTAAGTATAGTTAATTGTTGGATAAACATAAAGCCCACCCAATAAAAGACTCTGTGAAGTGGAGTTAGGTTATAAGCTCAGGTTTTCCTTGCTT